CAGAAATACTGTGGAGGCAGCCACACCCAGACATGAAAGAAGGGCAGGTCCAGAGAAATGGTGGCTTCTCTGGTGCTCCAGGGTTGATGCCTGAATTACTTCAGGAAGAGAGCGAATGAGTTCTCTTAAAGCATGTGTATTATTATTTTGAATGCAAAGTTGAAAGGCTAAAGCTGGGACAGTTTGTTTACTTTAACCTTGAGTTTCCCACAAACAAAAGTTAAAAGCACCTTGCCCTTGGGGAGAGGGGGTGGCAGGAGATATCAGACTATACCTGGAGGTTTAAGAAGCCACAAGGAAAACAAGGAGAATTTGATTCAAAAGTCTTTACATTTAAATAAAAATTTCAGGGGCGCCTAGGTGGCTCAGTCGATTTAGCATCTAACTCTTGATTTTGGCTCAGATCATGATCTCGTGGTTCATGGGATCGAGCCCCACGTCAGGCTCCTCACTGATGGACATGGAGCCTGCTTGGGATTCTCTCTCTCTGTCCACTCCCTCGCAATGCATGCTCTCTCTCTTTCTCAAAATAAATAAACTTAAAAATAATAATAATAAAAGTTTCAAAGACCATATCATGGAACAAAATGCAAACTTGACAAGACTTTTTAAAGACAAAAAGGTGGTATCAGTGGTAGGTTTGGGTTTACTCTCCAAGCCTCAGCCTCTGCCTGTGGGAGTGGGCAGTCACATAGGCCAGATCCTCTGACAGCCATGCTCTGTGGTTGGAGAACAGCACACAGAGAACCACTCCCTGCCAACCAGGGGTTGCCAGCAAAGCTTCCACACAAGATTTCCTCACAAGGTTTCTACCTATAGGAGCCTGACCAGCTTCTGGACAAACAGGTTTAGGAACAACCACAACACACACACGTGCACACGCAAGACACATTTCTTACCAGTCCTGGGAGTCTCCCTCCTCCTGTGGATAATAGGAACAGGGGTCTGGTGCAACTTTCCTGGGTTTGCCCAGGGTCAGGACTCAACTCAGGGATTCTTCAATTCCCTTTCTAAGGCTCTCCAGGAAGATTCTGTTTCCAGTTCAAATGTCTCTATTCTAAGGAAGCTCAGAGGAGCTCATCTTGCCGAGGCCTTGCCCTCCTCTGCCAAGAACAGAGGGGCCAGGGCAGAGTAGAGGGGCCCAGGGCCTCAGTACTGTCCAAACTCCAGGAAATGTGGCTATTCTGTGGTTGATCCAGCCTCCACAACCTCTGCTCTGCTCACCTCTCTCCTCATCTTCCCTGCACTCCAATTCCTTCCAGAACAAAGCTGGATTCTGAACAAGGCCAGGACAATAGCACAACCCAGTCAGTATAAGACTGGATCTACTTTAGACTAGAAATTCATTTCAGAGCATTTGCCCAGGGGTGAAGGAGACCGACATATTAGAATCTCCAAAATGCCAGAGGGGTGGAGTTTTCCATCAATACTTACCTATTCTTCCCTGCCTCTTCCCAAGAATCCCTGATTACCATTCTACTGTGTGATGCATGTAAACGGCTTGCAGACAGGAACAAAGTTTGATAATCACTGCTTTAAACGTATCTTATTTTGAACCCAAACTGGGATTTACCTCACCACCGAATACCAATTTTGACGAAGCCTAAGGATTCCTTTTCCCTGTGGGCTTGACTTAGCTTTATACAGCTTTATACTTAGCTTCACAGCCCCTACTGCTAGCATTCTCCTCAGTGTATGCACCGAGCCCAAGGCAGGGGCAGCCGACTGGCAGAGGCTCAGAGATGCCTTTTGTTTGGCCCACAGATTTTTTAAAAATGGGAATTAGTTGGGGCATCTGGGTGGCTCAGTTGGTTAAGCGTCTGGCTTCAGTTCGGGTCATGATCTCAAGGTTTGTGGGTTCAAGCCCCACATCAGGCTCCATGCTGGCAGTGTGGAGCTGCTTGGGAGTCTCTCTGTGTCCCTCTCTTTCTGTCCCTCCCTCACACGCGCTTTCTCTCTCTCTCAAAATAAATAAATAAACATAAAGTATATAAAAATGGGAAATAGTTGGGGTACCTGGGTGGCTCAGTCGGTTAAATGTCTGACTTCGGCTCAGGTCATGATCTCACAGTTCGTGGCTTCGAACCCTGCGTCGGGCTCTGTGCTGACAGCTCAGAGTCTGGAGCCTGCTTGGGATTCTGTGTGTGTGTGTGTGTGTGTCTCTCTCTCTGCCCTTCTCCCACTCACGCTCTGTCTCTCAAAAATAAATAAACATTAAAAAAATTATTTTAATGGGAATTAGTTATTAGCCTTTAAAAATTGGGGAATTTCAGAGGTGCCTGGGTAGCTCATTTGGTTAGGCAACCAACTTTGGCTCAGGTCATGATCTCGTGTTTCGTGAATTCAAGCCCCACACTGGGCTCTGCAGTAACAGTTCAGAGTCTGGAGCCTGCTTTGGATCCTGTGTCTCCCTCTCTCTCTGCACCACCCTGACTTGTGTTTCTCTTTCTCTCAAAGATAAATAAATAAACATTAAAAAAATAAAAATTGGGAAATTTCATATAAAAACCCAGACTTCTGTCTTCTCTTAAGAAAAAAACAAAGGCCATGGCAAGCCTGGGCTGGCATTCCTGCAGGAGCTGAATAGTGGCAAGCAATATTCAGTCCATCCCAGTCCCCACCACCACTGCCTGCAGCGTCACACCCAGACAGCTTCTTGTGTGGACCTTTTCCATCTGACTGTAGACATTATTTAAGTTTGTGCTAGCAGACCTAAAGCACCTCCTGAGATCCAGCAGAACGGGGCTCCTCTTGCTCCTGGGCTGACTTTACAATCCTGGAGACTTGGGTTTATTTCATAGACCCTTGCTCGGTTTCAGCAACCAAAACTGGCTGAAAGGAGAAGCAGCATTCCTTTTGAGGGTAATATTCCTGCTTGCTGGGAAGAGCCCGGGGAGGGGGGGTGGGGGGTGGGGGGGCTTCTAGGCAAGAGACAAAAGCAAAGCGAAAGCTCCATTGCTTCCTGGGGGCCTCTGCAATCAATGATCACAGGAGAGCTGACAGTTTCTTCTCATCCCAATTGGCCTGAATGTGAGATACCCACAACTTTTCTCTCTGCCTCTCTTTCCCCTATTCCCCCTTGGCCACCCACGTGTGGCGCCCATGCACAAGCTGTTTGCACTATTTTGTTCTGTTTTCTGTTTGTTGAATGTGCTCTGGATAAGGAATTAAGCCATGCATAATTGGGCCACCAGCAAAGCCCTTCTGGTGACAACAACAAATAGTGGCTAATGTTAGGAGCACACAACACAGGTGGAAAGGAGTAGGGGTCTAATATTCTTCAAAGCCACTTACTGAAAGACTACCATGCTTCTCCCCTAACATAGGTTCTGCCTGAGAAAAGGTGAGATGAGATTGTTCCTTGTAACCCTGAGAATCATAACATATCTTAAAGAACCAGGAAACACCCAAAGGGAGGTGTTGGGAACTGAAATCCTGCAAACCTAGTTTCATCCTCAACATCCAAAGGAGAAGGAAAGACAGACATTTCCTGAGCTCTTCCAATGCTAGAAATGTTCTCATGCATCATCTCAATCCCTCCAAAAATTCCTAGAGGTAGGAATCACCACCCTTTTTTAGGAGAGCAAACTAAGGGTGATGGAAGCTAAGAAACTTGTCCAAGATAACTTAGCAGAGCACCAAGATTCACTTGCATCAGTGTGTCACTCAGGCTGGGTCCACAGGCCATCTCTTCCCGATAGCTGTCCCTTATCTCTCAGCTTTTATTTTCTCCACACCTTTACCATACAGGATATATTTATGTGTGCACGTGTCTCCTGTCCCCAAAGAATGTAAGCCCTTGGGGGCAGAGACTCTGTCCATCTTGTGACTGCTATTTCCCTATGCAGAAACAGGATCTAGCACATGGTGGACCCACAGCATTTGTTGCTGGACTGATGGCAGGCAGCTTTATATGCCTCACCATGCTACTGTCTGCTCCTCTCACTCCAAAACACACAGCCTCTCTTCACAAATTCCCAACACCAATCTCAGAAGCCAAGGAAAACAACACAGAGATGGCAAACTGTTCTTTAGAAAGGGAGTTGAAAGGAAGATAAAAGTCCTGGAAATCCAAGAAAACTCTATTGTGTATAGAGACTAGCTTGCCCCTGTAAAGGCAGAAGTCTTCAGGAGAGGAGGAAGTGATGGTTTATTACCAACGTTCTCCCTTTTAAGGTGGGAAGGCTTTGGGTTTCCCTCCTGTTGTAGCTCATGCTGTTTTGCCCCCAATCCAGGGTCTGGAGAACTGAGAATGCCAGAGCAACACAAGTGGGATTAGTTAGAAAGTTGAGGGGCGCCTGGGTGGCTCAGTCGGTTGAGCGTCCGACTTCAGCTCAGGTCATGATCTCGCAGTTTGTGAGTTGGAGCCTGCATTAGGCTCTGTGCTGACAGCTCAGAGCCTGGAGCCTGCTTCGGATTCTGTGTCTCCCTCTCTCTCTGTCCCTCTCCCCCTCACGTTCTCTTTCTCTCAAAAATAAATAAACGTTAAAAAACTTTTTTTTAAATAAAAAAGAAAGTAGATGTGGCACAGAAAGCATCCCAAAACACAAACCCTTCCCCAAAGTTAAACATAAACCAGAGCAGCAGTTCCCAGACCAGAATCACCTAGGTCAGTGGTTCTCAAGGCGTGGTCCCTGGACCAGCAGCTCAGAACCATGTGTGAACTTGTCAGAAATGCCAATTCTCAGGCCCACCCCAGACCTATCAGAATCAGAAATTCCAGGGTTGGGACCCAGGAATCTGTGTTTTAACAAGTTCTTTGGGTGACTCACATGCATACCAAAGACCAAGGGAACTAAATACATATACAAATCCTTTGGCCCTGGAGATCCTAATTCAGTAGGTTGGGGACAGGGCCCAGGGAGAGCACAAGTACTTCACAGCTGATTCTAATTTGTAGCCACATTTGAAAACTACTAAACCTGAGCACTCCTCTTTCCCTGGCCCCAGGACAGTGTCCTCAGTTCTAAACCCTCTTCCCACTGCCCCCAGTCACTCACCACACAGAGCAATGATGTGGCTGCTATCTTCATGCACAAACTTCCTGGTGACAGCTTCCTCCATGATTTGCTTCACCTGTGGACAAACGGGCAGCATCTTACTGATTTTTCTGATCAAAGGGTTGTGGGCAAGTAAATAGCTTGGCTCCGCTCTCCTGGTCTATCTCCTACTCTACTTGCAGATTAGATAGTAAATAGGGATGGGAGCGGTGGGGAAGCTAAGCGTCTTCTTGGAAAGGCAACCAGGAAGAGAGATGTCATCCACCAAGCAATCAGTGCAGATGTTCCAGTCCAGGAGGAAGTGCCTTGCTGTGGAGAAGATGGACAGGATGCCATTTGCTCATGTGTACTTAGCTGGAGAAGAGCTTTTGGGCAGACAAACTGTCCGTTAGGAACAAACTAGCTCATTATAGGCTGTAGATAAACAACCTGCCCCTCATTTACTTCTTCAATGTTCACCCAGGCCTCAGAGACACTCTCCACACGCTTGCAAGCCCAGACTTCTTTCTGTCTAGATAGAACCCTGATGTTTTGGGTTCCTACATGGATATAAAAGTTTCCAAGTACCTTGTAAGATGAGCAGTTACATCTGTCTTTAAGAAAGCCCTTTTTAAAAAGCACATACACACAACTTTTTTATTGATGTACATAAAACTACAGAAAAGGGTATATGTCATAATTACACAGCCTGATGGATTTTCACAAGCTGAATCCACCTGTGAAACCAGCATCCAGATGAAGAGACAGAACATGTGACCAGCATCCCTGAACACCTCCCACTGTCATGTTTCCTTCCACTCACTACTCTCCTCAGGGACATGTGCTATCCTGACTTCTAACAGCATAGAGTCTCTTTATGGGTTTTCATACTGTTGATAGATAAAATCACTGTGTGTAGTGTTTTGTGACTGGATTTCTTTCTGTTATAAGATGTGTTCACATTGTATGTACTTGTGGATTGTTCATTCTCCATTATGTTAACACACAATGAACTGTGTGTAGGTAGTTTCCAATTTGGGGCTGTCATGAATAGTGCTACGATGAACATTAAAAATATGTTTTTTAGTAAACATAGGTGCTCATTTTTTGCATTTATATTTCCAGACAAGGCATTTCTGATATGTATATTCCGCTTCACTAGATTTTGCCAAATAGCTCTCCAAAGTGGTTGTACCAATTTACACTCCCATCAGCAATGTATGAGGTTTTAGTTGCTCCCAACATAGAAGTCAAGCACTTTTGATGTCCTGGGGGGATTTGCCAAGAAACAGATACTAATACTGGAGATTAGAGAGATGGATTACCTCAACCCCACTGTAAAATCTTATATGAAGTAAGCTCTGGGCAGAGCGTGTCTTTGTCATTCTCTGGACAAGGCATACAGTGTTCCGATGCTGCCCTTGCAGTTTGGAGAGTGGTAAAGCTTCTAAAGCCTGCAGAGGAGGTAGGGAGGACCTGGAGGCTTCTCCCTATTGAAACTGCTCACAGTGAGCAGTTAAGTAGAGGGGAATCAGATTGATCCTGCACTCTAAATTGTTAAAAGCTTCCTAGGTTACTTGCCAAGCGGTGTTTGTATTAAACAGAGCATAAAGTCACAGTTTAAAGACCTGCGGGCATCTGAAACAGGCCGGTGGGGCAGATTTGGGGGTTAGAAGGACATACAGAGGACTCTAGAATTGTATCAGAAATTCTGTATTGAAAGTCCAGCCTTGCCTACAATTATCCCCACTTCCTCTACTTGTGGAAGAGGAAGGATATATTTCTCTCTAAATCAAGTGCTGAAGGGAGAAGGGAACTAAGAATTCAGAGCAGGTTAAACTTTGTCAGGTAATATACATAGCTGTGGCATATTTTGGGCATTTCTCATATTTGTTTAGGAATCATTCTTAGAGCAGTATAAAAAGCCTTCTAAGTATTGAAAAAAAGAATCATGGTATCAGAAATCTTTCCTACGTCCCTGACCAACTCTAAATTTGGAGCACAGCAACAATCCTGGCACATCCATCCATGGTTTAGGTATGGCTACTTTTTTCTTCTTGTTTATACTGTTCATATGAGCCTCTGTCACTAGACTGCTTGTTTCCCGAGGATAATCACTATGACTTGGGATTTCCCTTTTGCTTGGGGAGACCAGGGTTTAGTTGAAATGCTGATTTGATGTACTCCTGACCTAAAATGCTTTCTTGGCCACTTCACACAAAAGTGGTGAGGCAGCTTCTCACACACAGCTGGAAAGGTGAGGACTTTGACTACTTTGCCAACAAGAGGGAAGGGCACAAATAAATGTTAGGTAGGGCACAGTAGCCAGGCCACACTTAATGCAGGAGAACCATCTAGGGCCTTCCAGGAGTTTATGAGAACACATAGTCTTCTCCAATCCTGAAATTCTAGGAAGAGGTAAAGGAACCATTATGGCACACTTTAATATATGAGATACATATCATCATCCTTCTTTCAGAGATGAATAAAATAAGACTCAGGTTAAGTAACTTCTTCAAGTCACACAGAGTTAGGTCCAGAGTATTCCAAGGTTACACATCCCTACAGATCTTGCAGTCTCTAAAATCAGTAGATTTATTTACCAAATACTCATTGAATGTCTACTGTGTGCCAGGTCCTGGATACAGAATAGTGGACAAAACAGACTGGTTTCCTGCCCTCATGGAGTTTGCACATCTGGTAGAAGACAGCCACAAAGGTAGTTGCAAGGAGTTCATGGTTCCCGAGGCCTAATCCATTCTAATCCATACTGCAGGTTTGAGCTCTCCAGCTCTCATGTGCGGTGAGTCATTCATATGGGTACCCGCCCCCCCCCCCC